TGGAAAGAGGGGACAAGGGCTCTCCTGGGACACACCAACAGTTATGAGGGTGTCAGATGAAGGAGGCAGGGACTGTGGTGCCCTGAGGAGCCAAGCTTTTAAAGCCACAAAAAGATGGGTGGTGACTCAGCTCATCACACACAGGTAGAGTGGCCAAAACCTGTAAAAACATTGTCATGAAGTTTAAAGGCTACACGAGTGGGGCTGGCGCTGTGGCACAGCAGGTTAAGCCACCACTTGCAGTGCCAACATCCCATAGTCATGGGTTCAAGTTGTGGTTGCTCCATTTCCAAACCAGCCCCCTGCTAATGCACCTGGGAAAGCAGTGGAAGATGGTCCAAGTGCTTGGGTCCCTGCATCCATGTGAGAGACCCAGATGAAGCCCCTGGCCCTGGCTTTGGCTTGGCTCTGCCCTGACTATTGCAGTCATTCGGGGAGTAAACCAACAAACCAAGGACCTCTCTCTCTCTCTGCCTCTCCCTTTCTGCAATTCTGCCTTTCAAATAAATAAATAAATATTTAAAGAAAAAAAAACCCACATGAGCTGAACTCAACAAAAACAGAAAAATTTAAAAAAGAGCAGGAACATGAAAAGGAAGGAAAATAAGACCCTGGAGCCCAAATTAAAAAAAAAAAGGGGGGGGTGAGCATTGTCTTTGGATCCTATGGCATAATTTTAGTTGGCAACCAATAAAAGGCAAAGATTCTTATTCTGGCTCCCTTGCTTTATCAAAACCAGGTTATTTCTAAAAACTACCTCTGGAAGTGAGAGGCAGCTGGGGAGCTAAATCCCAGGATCCCAGCAGGAGCTCTGCTCTCCCCTGCCTGCACCAGAGCCTGGTGGGATTGGAATGTTTTCCCACATACCAGAAGCTTCCTTGTCTTTCGTGAGGCTGCTAAAGTATTGTTTAAATGTACATAAAATTTACATAAATATAACATAAAATAGACCATCTTAACCATTTTCAAGTTACAGTTTCCGTAGTGTCAAGTACGCTGACGTTGCTGGGAGACAGAGCTCCTTTGCATCCCCCCTCCCCAGCTCCTGGTAACCATCATTCTGTTTTCTTTTGCTTAAACTGAGGACCTCCTGTAGGTGCAATCAGACACTATTTGTCTTGTTGCCACCTGCTTATTTTACTTAACATGAGGTTCTCAAAGTTCATCCACATTGTAACGTGTGTCAGAACTTCCTCCCCTTTTAAGGCTGAGTGATACATTCCATTTGCCCACATAGACCACATTTTCTTTGTCCATTTATCTGCCAATGGACATTTGGGTTGCTTCTACCATTTGGTTATTGTGAGTAATGTTGCTATGAATGTGAGTGTACAAATATTTGATAGACAAGGATTGCTGGATGATGTGATAATTCTGTTTTTAATTGTTTGAGGACTTCCACACATCAGAATATTACCATTCAAAATGAAAGAGAGGCCCAAAGCCCACAGAAGGGCAGGTATACTGATGTTCAAAATAAAGGACAGTCAGGGCAAGGTTGTGCCACTGCAGCCTAGGCCACCGCCCGCGACATCGGCATCCCTTATGTGGGCACTGGTTTGAGTCCCAGCTCTCTACTTCCGATCCAGCTCCATACTAACGGGAGAGGCAGCAGAAGATAGCCCAGATGCTTGGGCCCCTGCAACCCATGTAGGGGACTTGGATGGAGTTCCTGGCTCCTGGCATTGGCCTAGACTAACCCCAGCTATTGTGGCCATTTGAGGAGTGAACCAATGGATAGATCTTTCCCTTTCTCTCTAACTGCCTTTCAAACAAATAAATTTTTTAAAAATGAGTAGATCAAAGACAATTTATGTGTGTGTGTGTGTGTGTATGTAGAGAGGGAGAGAGAGAGAGAGAGAGAGAGAGAGAGAGACTGGGGAACTTTCTGTTGAACTCCCTGCAAAGTTCTAACACTGCCTCATTAAACTTGTTCTTAAGAGTCGGGCAGGGGCCAGCACTGTGGCGCAGTGGGTTAATGCCATGGCTTGAAGTGTAGGCATCCTATATGGGTGCCGGTTCAAGACCCGGCTGCTCCACTTCCCATCCAGCTCTCTGCTATGGCATGGGATAGCAGGAGATGGCCAAAGTCCTTGGGCCCCTGCACCTGTGTGGGAGACCTGGAAGAAGCTCCTGGCTCCTGGCTTCGGATTGGTGCAGCTCTGGCCGTTGTGGTCAATTGGTGAGTGAACCATTGGATGGAAGACCTTTCTCTCTCTCTCTCTTTCTCTCTCTCTGCCTCTCCTCTCTCTGTGTAACTCTGACTTTCAAATAAATAAATCTTAAAAAAAAAAGAGTTGGGCAAAAGCTACCATGAATGGCAATGGCACAGAGTGTTTTAGTCTTCAAATAGCATTTACAGACACCTCTTGCATAGTCAGTAAGCTGCCTGCAGGTGCCTACCTGTGGGATCAGTCCTATTTGTTTACAAATGATGTTCTTTAATTCACCAACCACCATTTCCCATGGCAGCTTGGTCAGTAAAATGCCTAATCCGCAAGCTTTTGACTTATACATGAAAGATTTACATCTTTCCACATGCGTAGAGTTCACAGAATTTAAACTCCCCCGCAGGTAAAAGGGTTGTTTCCTTTCTATGCCATCATGATGGGCCCATCTGCAGTCACCTGTTACCCGCCCTGGCTGGCCCTGAATGAGTTCTGAGTGGCTAAGTCACAGCAGAGGTCATGTGGCCTCAGATTCCCCACAGGAATACCACTGGTCCCACCTTGGAGTTCTGCCATGGTGGGCTCTTCCCTCTTAAAAGACAGGGACAATTATGATAGCTGGAGCTTGGTTTATTTTGACTTTTTCTGGGTCCCCAAGTTACTCAGTCTGAAGAGTGTTCTTTCAGAGTAACAAAACTGAACAGGAACTCATCTATCCCAAAACACTTACTGACTTTGCTACTAATAAAATTCACCATTTATCTGTGACTTTCTAGGAAGATGAATTGTTAGGAAATAAAACAGCCGGGTCCCTACGAAAAATCAGATTAAACCAAATATGAGAGTGCTTAGAAAATTTCATGGCAACATAGAATTAAAAGATAAGTTTTTGGGGCAAGAAAATTTAAATCCATGCATGTTTTTTCATAATGAACATTTCCTGTGAACTTTCTCTGACAACTCCCATATGCATGGACTTCAAAGCTTTTCTGCACTAAAGTAGACTATTTTTCAACTCCATTTTCCACAAACATTGTTTAGCACCCTCAGCTGAGTTTAGGTGCTGCTCTCTCCAGACAGCTAATCGGGCTAGAAACAAACCCTGTTTCAAAGTGGCTTTCCTGCAAGAGTGACGACGGTCCTGCTGTCTCCAACAGCAGAAACCAGGGAGAGGCTGGGCTGGTGCTCCCACCCTCCACAACCCACCCCGGGGGGCGACACCATGGGCCAGCGGCAGGTGGGAGCTGGAGATTCTTTCAACTGGTCCCCATCGCTCCTGAGGGTCATCATGGAAGCCCTGGGTATCTGTCCCATTTGCATTCCAGGGGGGCCAAGAGATCATCAGAGATGGCGGGGGTGGTGGGCAGCCATGGGGACACATTGTCCCAGTGACTGGCAAGGCTGCCTCCGAGAGACTTTCCGCACCCAGGGAGGTGCGGGAGGATGCAGGGGACTGACACCGAAGAGTCCCCAGGTTTAAAGACGGACACTTGGCCCCAAGTCCCTCCTCCTGCCCTCACGGCCACCATGAGGACAGAGGGGCCCAGAGGAAGGAGCAGAGGGCGTGGAGGACGAGACAGCCCCAGCTCTCGTCAAAACAATAACCCCGGGGAGGGAGCTTTAGTAATAAGCACTTTGGTTAGAGAAGATCTGAAGGCTAAATACTGTTTAGGAAGTGGTCGCTAATTTCAAATTGCTTTCCAAAATAACCACATCCACCCCAGCCCTTTTGCAACTGTAGGAAACGAAATGCCTCTTTCCTTTCCTGCTTCCCCAGGGCTGGGGCCGGTGGGAGGAGCTTTTACTATAAAAAGTCAACTATTAACTCGTCCTTTGTAAACCACACAGGTGCACTTTAACAGGCGCCTTTCTGGCTTTCCTTTAAGGAAAGAATAGATATATTCTGTTCAGGTAGGCTTCACCTTATAAGAATGTGGCTACATTTAAACTTGGAAGAATAAGCTGTATTTGGTTTGGGGCCTTTACCTTTATGATTACAATGAGTAATTCCACGCCACTTTTTTTTTTTTTTTTTTTTTTTTTTTTTTTTTTTGCAGGCAGAGTGGACAGTGAGAGAGAGACAGAGGGAAAGGTCTTCCTTTGCTGTTGGTTCACCCTCCAATGGCCGCCACGGCCGGTGTGCTGCGGCCGCGCACCGCGCTGATCCGATGGCAGGAGCCAGGTACTTATCCTGGTCTCCCATGGGGTGCAGGGCCCAAGCACTTGGGCCATCCTCCACTGCACTTCCAGGCCACAGCAGAGAGCTGGCCTGGAAGAGGGGCAACCGGGACAGAATCCGGCGCCCCAACCGGGACTAGAACCTGGTGTGCCGGCGCCACAAGGCGGAGGATTAGCCTAGTGAGCCGCGGCGCCGGCCCACGCCATTTTCTAAAGCTCTTGTCCTAAAGATCGAGCCCTAAAAATAAGCAAACCATTGACCTTACTTCTGAGGAAATCCAGTGCTGTGAAGATAGATTCTGTTTTTCTTCCCTTTTTCAATTCAAATAATTGCAGCTTATCAGCCTTTGAAAGCAGCAATGTAACTTCTTGATCAATTCAAAACTTCTTATATAAGAATCAATCACGTTTGTTTCCCAACGTTGTTTTATAATGATGGAACCAAAACTAGAGACCTAGAAGTGCGTTTTATCCCACAGCATACACCAAAGCGTGGAAAGCACATTTGCTACTTGATGGTTCTATTCCCCTTGGACCCACGCATCAGCTACTTGACAGATGGGACAAGAGACACGTTCCTCAACACGTCCACGTGAGCGTGGGCTAGCTGAGTCTGCAGGGAGACAGAGGAAAACACAAGCAAAACGAGCAAACCTGAGCCTTATTTCCAAGGGCGGGCAGGACGTCAGGCAGGAAGAATGAGAGCCAGGCCCCTGCGCAAGGCCTCAGGGCTTCGCTCTTGGCCAGCACACGCCTGGAGGCCAGCAGCGCCCGGTGATGAGATGAACCCAGGTCACAGATCTTTGCAGTGAGGACGTCACCTGGGGGTGGGGAGGGGGGGAAAGGAGTGACTGTCATATTCCTTTAACTCCTCCCGCACCTATCAGTTGAATGAACTTTGTGGTTTTTCTTCCTCCCTAGAAGTGTGATGGGGTAAGTGTGGATACTGCCAGTCTCCTGCTGCATCATACATAACACACACACACACACACACACACACACACAATCAAAAGTATTCTTCCGTAGAAATTCTTTTCTCTATGGCAATAGAGAAATGGCAACTAATAATGACAGTAGTACCCCACCCCAAACCTCAAGCCCACTCCTGAGTATTAAGGAAGTGCAGTGTTGAGAATTTGAGAGATTGGGCAAATCCTTACTCTCAACACAGCAGTTTAAAAAAAAATTCTTTCATTCATCAAGAAGAATCTATACCTTTTGTTTCTAGAAATCTCAGCTCGCCCAAGGGACACCCTGACAGCTGACTTATACTTCTCATGATGTGTAACTCCAGGAACTGTCCTTTCAAAATACAGACTAGTAACAGTGAATTTAGGATTCGTTCACTTCTTCAAAAGTAACTTGGAAAAAAATTTTTTTTCTGTCTATGGAGTCTACCTATAAAAATGGACAAATCACAGAATGACAGGTTTCTGATTCCACTTAGGAATTCAAAGAGTTATAAAGTAATTTCTATTAAGCTCAGCTTCCCTTCTCTGGGTCTCCTTACCAGTGTCTCTTCTTCCAAGCAAGGCTGTGTCCTTCCCAGACACTGAAGCACAGCTAGATTGAGATTACCCCTGGAAATAAATAAATAAAGTGAGAGGAGTTCTGGGGGGCTCGGTCCCACTCTTACGGCTCACGCCACTCACACAGCAATCCTCTAAACCACCAGTGACATAGCCACTGTAGGGCAGTACCCTCCTGGACCAAGGAACCTGAGTGGAAAATGATGTCCCCTCAATTGTATCCTCTCTAACATTTTAGCTAATGCCCACAGACGACTCCTAGCTCCTGGACTGGACCGACGATGGCACAGGGAGGACCTGCAAGTTGGAGTTTTCCTTTCGCCCTCCTGAACTTGTTGAGCCAGACCTTTTGTATTTCTTTTCCTGCTTAACTGGCTTAGAATTCAGTGGGGGGAAAAAAAGTAAGAAAAAATAATGAAGTCACCATGACCTGTATCAGAATTTGTCTTAAACAACTGACAGAACAGGTGGCCTGACCATGTCTTCCGATTCCAGTCACCATGGTGATGGGAGAGCGAGCCCTGCAGCCCCCCAGTTTCGCTGCTGCCTGGAGGCCGGGTGTTCTCTCTGCCACGCCGGCCTCCAGCCAACACCCCCCAGCACTCAGCGGATCCCAAGGGCAGACAAAGCTCTCCCCAGGAGCAGTCTGGGGCAGCGGCTTGCAGTTCTTAGCACAGGACATTTCCTTCCAGAACACTAGCTAGCCTCGGCTAGAACTGGGGCAGGACAGAGGGCTGGGGCATGAAGTCTATTTGAGGGACAAGAACAAGGGCGCACGGTCAAGCCGATCTGGGGCTAGACCGAAAGTGAGCGTCCACCTAGGGGCCACTGAGGGGGCTGGGCCAGGGATCCCCAGCAAGCCTGCAGGGCCCGGGCCCCCGCCCCCAGGCGTCCACGGCTGCGTGCAGGCCACACTCACCGAAACAATGACAGTGGCACCTGCGACTTTTTGCCTCCATCAGACAGGAAGTCTCTTTTGGTGTCCGCGCTTTAAAACTCAGATGTGTCACTAATTACTTGTAATTACTGCTGTCCCCACTATTGTCACCTGCGTTTCACAAGTTCCTGGGACGCCCATCATCGGACACCGTGCAGCCCACACGGGAACATTATTAACCCACCGGCCCCAGGTCGCCTAGTTTGAGCTGGCTTTCCTCTCCGCACAGGGGCGAGGCAGTTCCAAAGCAAAGCAGAGGAAGTGGGGGAAAGGGGCCACTTATTCACCGCTGGGAGACGTTTATAAAACCTGTCGTGCAAGCCGGAGGGGCGCAGGTTGCGCGGGAAGCCGAACCAGTCCATCCTCGTTCCTCCCCGGGCGCGTGGGAGTGGGCGGCGCGGCGACCCCCGCGCGCGCGCTCGGGTCCCAGGGGGCCCGGCTAGAACCGGAGGATGCGGATGGGAGACAGATAAGGCCCCTCCAGGCAGCCCCAGGGCCCGCACACGCGTCCTGCCGGCGACTCTGTCCTGCAGCCGCAAGGGCGACAGGCCCGCGGGAGCGGACAGCCCGCCGACCTCGCCTGCTCCGGCCGCCGCCGCAGCCCCGCCAGCCCGCGCCGTGGCCCAATCCCCGCCGCAGCGCCCCGCGCCCTCTCACCTGCTCTCGGGGTCTGCGCGGGGCGGCGCCCTCCGCTCCGCCAGGCGGGCAGGTCGGGCTCGGGCGCCGCCGGCTCCCGGGCGCAGGATGCAGTTGGAGTCGGAGTCGGGCTCCGCGCCGGGCTCGGGTGAAGGCCCCGGCTCCCATCTGCGGCGCCTTTTAACCGCGCCTACCCCGCCTCTGCCCTGACGCTGCTCGGGCGGGCTGGAGCGGCGAGCGCTGTCACCGAGCGCCCGCCCCGGGGCGAAGGGTGTGTCCCTCCTTCTAGCAGGGGCGCTGGACTGGGGGCCGCCCCGCCCTCGGGGGACTCGGGTCTCTGCAGCGCAGGGCCGCTGCTCCGGAGCGCTGGAACCTCCTTGGGAGTGCGCAGGACGCGAGGATTGTGGGGTGCGCGGGGTTCAAGGTCCGCGAAGGGTATAGAGGGCGCAGAACCCTCATTCGAGGACTTGGTGGGGTCTCGGGTAGCTAGGGGGCCTTCTCTCGGGGGCATGGGGTCCTCCTTAGGGGTGTGGAGGGCTCGGGGACAGCTGGGGGCGAGAGGCGAGACTGCGGGCCGAACCTGCGCGCGGATTCGGGGCGCCCATCCAGGTCCCGAGGGAGCGGGCCTCGGCCGGTGCGTCCCCTGCGCAGGGCGAGGCTACCCCCGTTGCCGTTGAAATAATGTTCTGACGTATCTGCGTGGCTTCTCAAGGCAACTTCTTCCTCTTCCTCCTCCTCTGGAACATTTTCCGTCCTTCTAATTAGCCGCCGGGGACCAGTGCACGACCTGCCCTGGACAGCGGCCTGGAAGTTCCTTCTTAATTAATTAATAACCATTTGCTGGAGTTACCGCGGTTTTTTTTTTTTTTTAATTAAGTTACCATTGTTTCGAGGATGCCTCCAGCAAAGCGGAGCAGGCCCTCCTCAGGTGTCGCAGGGGGTGTCTCTCTCCTCCCCCTCCCCCTCCGCCCCGCTGTTCCACAGGGCCCAGGACCAGCTCAGGCGGTGGAGCAGGGGTTGGTGGGGTGGCAGCCTTGGAAGGTATGTTGGGACCCGGCTTTACAGGTTCCAACCTGCGCTTCATCAAGAGATGCGTGACTCGCTTATTTGGCAACATTGATTGGTAATTAAATGTCCTCACCTAAGCCATCCCGCGCTTGTTGGGTCACTGAAGCAGGGTGAAAGGTAGCTCTTAAGAAAAGGTTCTGGGGCTGGCGCAGTGGCTCACTAGGTTAATCCTCCGCCTGTGGCGCCGGCATCCCATATGGGCGCCGGGTTCTAGTCCCGGTTGCTCCTCTTCCAGTGCAGCTCTCTGCTGTGGCCTGGGAAGGCAGTGGAGGATGGATGGACCAAGTGCTTGGGCTCCTGCACCCGCATGAGAGACCAGGAAGAAGCATCTGGCTTCTGGCTTCGGATCGGCGCAGCGCCGGCTGTAGCGGCCATTAGGGGAGTGAACCCACGGAAGGAAGACCTTTCTCTCTCTCTCTCACTGTCTATAACTCCACCTGTCAAATAAATTACAAAAAAAAAAAAAAAAAAAGGAAAAGAAAGTAAAAGCTTCTTTCCGGGGCGCTGTGGCGCAGCGGGTTAAAGCCCCGCACGGATTGGAGTCCTAGCTGCTCCACTTCCCATCCAGCTCCCTAATGCATCCTTGAAAGCAGTGAAGGATGCCCAAGTCCCTGGGCCCCTGCACCCACATAGGAGACCTGGAAGAAGCTCCTGGTTCCTGCTTTCGGATCAGCTCAGCACCCTGATTGTGCGGTTTGGGGAGTGAACAAGTGGATAGAAGACCTCTCTTTCTCTTTCTACCTCTCTGTAACTCTGTCTTTCAAATAAAATAAATAAATAAAATATGTTTCTTCAAGGTCGTGGGAGTTGAGCCAAGACTTAAAAAAAAAAGAACCCACCTTTAGAAATATTTACAGAACAAGATCTACAGAGAAATAGTCCCTGAGTCAAATGAGTTTTAGAACATTTTAGGGGCAGCCCCTGGAATGGCCTGGGTTTGGAGAGACACAGAACCTCCAGGCGGCTGGCCTGCAACCCTCACTTGCCTTTCACACTGGAACTTCTCATTCCAGGTGTCCATTCCTGCCGGCTGCTCTGTTTGCCTAACAAAATAGCACAATGTATCTAAGCAGACTGTAAACTTCTTTGGTGGTGGTGGTGGTGGGGTTCTAAACAGTGAGAGCTTTTCTTGGTTTGCATGGGTTTGCACCTAGCAGGTCCTGGCCCCAGGGCCTGTCTGTGTATTTCCTGGCAAAGCTGAGTCAGCATAGCAGATATCCCAGGGAATTGGGTTTTGCTTTTCCTAAAGGAGGCAGCGTCCTGCCTCCTGCAGCCTGTTCCATGCAGCCCGTGCCAGAGCCTTTCTGTTTGCATCTGTTGGTCCAGGACCCGCTCTGGAGAGATTTGCCAAACCCCAGTCGTCCCTGAACATGGGTTGCCTTTGCTCAGGTGTCTGAAAAGGGAACCATCACAACATGGTGGAAAAACATCTCCTTTCCTGCAAGGGTTGTTGACTTAGCCCCAGGCACTGGCATTTAATACTCTCCCCTGTTCCTTAACATTTAAGCCCCTTCATCCATCAACTTTCCCTTCTCGTCATCCCATCATCTTGTTGCAGCAGAAATGGAATGCGGGCTCTCTGGGATGAACATCTCTGAGATGTTCGTTTGGAAACTGGGGTCCATTCGTTAAAAACACACTTTATGCTTGACGATATCCAATCTCGAAGGCACACGAGGCATCAAGAATGGTCGTGGGGAGCCTTGACTTCGGTGCCAGGCACTGGTAGATGCTCAGGAGATGACGACAGCCCTCCCTGCACACGCGGAGGTGTCCCTGCATTCTGAAAACAAGAGGCTTGTGGTCCCTGGCGTGAAATTCGTCTGCTCCGTGGCTTCTCTCTGCACCGAAGCAGTGATTTCGAAGGTCACGAAGTTAATCAGAGCCAAGTGTGTGGCGTGTGGACCCCGCCTTGGCTCTAACAGGAGGTGTGAAGGGATGGTGGGTGAGAGGCCCTCTTGAAAATCTGGCCTCTTGCAGAACACACTCCGCTCCTGCCTCTGCCTGGCCGTGGCCACTGGTGCACGACTAGTGCTAGGGCTGCCCAGGACTCCCAGGGGGTTTTATGTGGGCTTTCCTGGCCTAACCTGGAAGCACAGCGTGGGGACCCTGCCTTCTGACACAATCCTAGGAGGGAGGAGAGTGTGCGGACTCCTTTGAAATAAAACTCACGTTTGTCTATCCATTCAGCAAAAAAAGCCTATATTGTATTTTTAGACTGTCCCTCCATTGGGGCTTGGCTGGTTTTCCCCATGTGAAGGTTATGTGTTTGGGGAGGAAGACATCACCTCTGCTGTACTGTCATCACCGTGACTTGTCTCTGCTGTGTTGACCTTGACCCCGGGCTCAGGGAGTTTGCTGGGAAGGAAGTCACACTTACTGGCTGGGGACTGGTGTCCCACCTCCCAGGGCAGACTCGTCACCTAGTCGTCTGCCATTCTCTGCCCTTGAGATGTGTCCCTTCTCCCAGCTTGTTCATTTCTTCAGTCATTTACTTATGTCAGTGTGGACTTATGGACGTTTGGTTTATATTTTGGGTTATGATCCAATACTGCTTTCTTTTTTAAAAAGATTTTTATTTATTTATTTGAGAGGTAGAGTTATAGAGAGAGAGAGGGAGGGAGAAATAGAGAAAGGTCTTTCATCTGCTGGTCCACTCCTCAAATGGCCACAATGGCTGGAGCTGAGCCAACCTGAAACCAGGAGCCAGGAGCTTCTTCTGGGTCTCCCATGTAGGTGCAGGGGTCCAAGGACTTGGGCCATCTTGCACTACTTTACCAGGCCATAAGCAGAGAGATGGATCAGAAGAGGAGCAGCCAGGACATAAACAGGCACCATATGGGATGCACCGCGGGCGGAGGCTTAGCCTACTATGCCACAGTGTCAGCCCCAATGCTACCTTCTTAATTTTATTCAAAATTTTCAGCTTTGGCCATGGGAGCTCTCTTTCTTTCTTTTTTAAGAGTTACACACAGAGAGAAGGAAAGGCAGAGAGAGAGAGAGAGAGAGAGAGAGAGAGAGAGAGAGGTCTTCCATCTGCTGATTCACTCTCCAGATGACCACAACAGCCGGAGCTGCGCCGATCCGAAGTCAGGAGCCAGGAGCTTCTTCCAGGTCTCCCATGAAGGTGCAGGGGCCCAAGGACTTGGGCCATTTGTACTGCTTTCCCAGGCCATAGCAGAGAGCTGGATGGGAAGTAGAGGAACCAGGACTCAAACTGGCACCCATATGGGATGCCAGCACTACAGGCAGCAGCTTAAACTGCTATGCCACAATGCCAGGCCCCATGGGAGCTCTTTCACTTGGCACCTGCTTCTTTTTGGATATCCAGCACCATATGTGTGCTCTGTGTGTACTCTGTGCGTGTGCTGTGTGTGCGTATATATACTGTGTGTGTGTGTGTGTAACATTTTCTGGTACAAGATGCTCCAGGTTCATCTTGCATGAGGGCACTTCAGAATGTTCAAGGAAAAAATGGAATTAAAAGCTAAGCTTATTTTGGTGGGAAAAATTTTGATCCATGTATAGCTTTCTCTTAATACCCATTTTTATGAACTTTCTGAAGACCTCAGATATGCATGAGTTTCAATTTTTGGCACCAAAAATGTATCTTTTAATTCCTTTCTTAGAAAATGTTTATTTTTTATTTATTTGCATCTACTTGAAAGAATGAGAGAGAGAGAGAGAGAGAGAGAGAGAGAGAGAGAGAGAATCTTCCATCAGCTGGTTCACTCCCAGATGCTTGCAACAGCCAAGGCTGGGTCAGGCTGAAGCCAGGAATTCAGAACTCCATCTAGGACTCCCATGTGGGTGGCAGGGTCCCAGGCACTGAGCCATCATCAGCTACCTCTCAGGATGCATTAGCAGGACTCAACCAGCACTCTGGTATGGGGTGGAGGCATCCCACGCATGCCAAGCAGTGGCTTAATCCACCATATCACAATGTTGACTTTTTTTTTTAATTTGAAAGTCAGGATTAGAGAGAGACATGGATGGACACAGAGTCTTCCACCCTCTGGTTCACTCCCCAGATGGCCGCAATGGCTGGGGCTGGGGCTGGGACAGACTGAAGTCAGGAGCCAGAAGCTTCTTCCAGGTCTCCCATGTGGGTGACAGGAGCCTAAGCACCTGGGCCATCCTCCACTGCTTTTCCTAGGCTGTTAGCAGGGAGCTGGATTGGAAGTGGAGCAGCCAAGACTCCCATATGGGATGCCAGTATTGCAGGTGACAGCTTTACCTGCTATTCCACAGCTCCAGCCCCTGTCTTTGACTTCTTGCTTCCTAAATGTCACAGATAGCACAGCTCAGATTCCAGCACACCCATGCCCCTGGCAATGCACATCTTGTTGGGTTGTTACTTTCTTTTCCCCTACTAATACGTGTATGACTGTTTTGTCCTTTATTTGCTTTATATGTTCATTTCTTTTTCAGGGACCCAAGTACTTGGGCCATTTCCCACTGCCTTCCCAGGCACATTGACAGGAAGCGTGATTAGAAGCAGAGCAACAAGAACTTGAATTAGCAGTCCATTATGGGATGCTGGTGTTGCAACCAGTG